ATATTCAGCACCTCCGTTATTTCACCAGGAGCCTCATTTGCCTTTTTGTTTCCTTTTTGTCTTTTAACCGTTGTCGCTCCTACAGAAAGACGTCAGACACTGAAAACACTGCACTCTTCAGTATTTATTCTTTTGCAGGCTTCTCTTGTTCAACACTGTTACTGCTTTCATCATTTCTCTACCACGCTCTCTCGTGGAGGTGTAGCAGTATGTAGATTGCAGTTGCACTAATACATGTACACACAGTATATGGCCAATAGCAGAAAGCAGTGAAACCAAGCAGTATGAAGCAGTTAATATGAACATACACCATTATAATAATAATAATTGCTTGTTATAATGTAATTAATTAGCAAAAATGTTACAAAATCGGAATAATGTTGTATTATGATCATATCGGATGATGTCTGGTAAGTCCCACTTCTAGTTAGTGAAGGCAGGGAGTTGTGAGGGAAGTGTAAAATGTGAACGAGAGCTCCAAAATTAATCCAGTAAGTTAACTTTCAGTCTATAAAATTGTGTAAGCTTCCAGGGAAGTGCCCTACTAGTGTTAATTTGAGGTAACTGTGCAAACTCATGTGTTTAAAAATGGCAGGCCCACTGTCTGACCGTTTTACTAGCTGTGATTATGTGTATTTTTCTCTGTGTTTACATTAAAGTGAGTCTCCATAATATCCTCTCCGCTGCATTCAAAGAGAAAAGCTTCATCTATTCTTAAGTATACTGTTTTATTATAGCATCCCAGTCCATCAATGAAATTATTATATCCTCTATTCCTCTCGCTCTCTCTCCCGTTCTCCCTTGAAGTGACATCAAACAGCCTCTAAATCATTACTTTGGTCGTTTTAATACAGCTGGAGCTCTATACCCCCCTCACTAGTTCTCCCAAAGGCCTTTTTTAACCTTTTTTCATCCCTTCCTGTCATCTCTCCATCACTGAAGCAGGAGAAGGAGGAGTAATGAGATACCTGGATCAATCCTCCCTCCCGCTATCATCACGACAACCACCACCACCTACGCCACTAAATCCTCCAGAGAAAATTTTGCCATTACAATTAGTTTCCCCACCTCTGGCCATAACTCAAACTAAAGCACCTGCACTGAAATCAGTCAGCCTGGGACGAGGAACGAAAACTACAGAGCGTGGAGTTGGAGCGGCTCGTAAACAGAGTTTGCAGGGACGTTTCACTGAGGTCAGGCGGGAATGCATAAATCTCAACTTGTTTTTCACACTCTTAAAGGGCTATTAAGTAAGATTTGTACTACCCCATGACACAAAATGACTGCAATATATCTTAATAAGGGCTCTGATCAATATTTCAGTGATTCCTTTGTAGTATGATGAGGATAATCTGGCTTCCGAATCGGACATTTGGATGCTCAGCCTGTTCGACTGTGGCACTCTGAGAAGCTTGAATGGGAACTTTGTTGAGAGTAGAAGGGGGCAAAATCATTCTATAATTGTTATGGCCAAACTGATGCTGATACCAATTGCAGCTTTCGGGGAGTAAGAAAAAATCTGAAATTGTGAAACCAGGCACAGGGTCACACAGCTAGCCTTCAAAATCTAAATTAAATTGTTAAATTAAATTAAGATTTAGGCCACATGCAATAACTATTTATTAACAATGGTGAATGGGTGAATGAGACAAGTTGTGTAAAGTGTTTTGAGTGCTGTGGTACAGTAAAAAAGCATAAAATAAGAATCAATCCATTTACTATTTAACATAGCAGAAACACAGCCAGGAGACATAACGTGGACACAAACCACTTTAGCCACAAGTGGATGGATATGTTGTTATTCAACAAGTAACAACAATGTAAATTCCTCTGAATCCAGTAATAACATATGAGATACAGTATGTCGTGGTGCTGTTATTAGCGGTGTACTGATTCTAGTAATTATGCTATGCAAGGCTACTAGCTTAATTCTTCAATCCTTTTGCCCCATCCACACTTTGAAGTTGACAGTTGGACACCAGTGGACGTTACTACAAAAATTACTACACTACTACAAAGTTTAACACTTTTCTTTGGTTGTAACATTGTTGCTACTCACTTCCTGCGTGGATGCAGCTTTACACTTGACGTGAGACTGGTAACATTCTCGCATGCTAACTAACCGAAATAACAAAACCAAGAATAAATTGCAGTTAAAAAGTGCACAATAAATAATCTGAACGACAGATCTGATAGCTTTATCGGTGAACTTAGTTTCAGGTATAAAACATTGAATCTCCATTAACAATTTAGAGTTGTAAAGTGAAATACCAATGATTTACTAAAACTAGTCTATAAGATGGCAACTATGTCAAGGAACAACACACAGTGTAGCACTTTGTATCTATTACAGCACAGTTAATTATTTTTTATGACCGTGTGTCTGAATAATGCGCTACAAAAAAGGCACTCAATGTGGAAATGTGTTTGTGATCCAATATTACATTTCAATTTTGGCTTGATTTGCTTTTTTCTAAAATGTGTGTTTTTTTTCCTCCCCGTAACAATTTTCACTCGTTTCATATGTTTATTCATTACAAATTATAGCAAAAAATCTGATAAACTTTTAATTAATTTGTGCAATTTATTTGTGCTTTTTAATCAAATAAAATGCAGTTAAACGGACTCACAACTTGGAGCCTTACGCGCTTTAAGTGTCGAACTGACAAGTATTGATGAATGCATTACTACTCCTAATGACCTTTCACATTCAACAAATAACTGCCTGCTCCTCTGAGGCCAAACACGTCAGACCATCAGTGGTACAGACAGCAGAGGCTGAACTCCAAAATACCGACAGCCAAAAAAGACTGACAGAGGATTTTTGGAATGCAGGTGGCAATTAGACAACAAGCTCTTTATTTAATAGAAATAACAGAAGTCAAAACATATCAAGTGTTAAAAATCCTCATTTCTGTTGGTTTAAAATGGTTTAAATTGTGATTTAAACATTTATGAAATAAAGAGACAGGGGCATGTTTACCACTGTGTTGCATCACTTCTTCTTTTGACAATCTGCAAGTTTGGGACCTGAGATGATGATTTGTTGTAGGTTTTAAAATGAGATGCTCTCCTGTTTTTGGTTTATACTACAATGTATGCTGCTCAGTAGTTAGGGGCATTCTTGTTTCATAATCCTTCATATACTGAGATATATCTTAAAAGCAGGAAATTTAGTACCATAACACTTGTGCTTTGACGATATATTTTCCTCAACATTTATACTCCACCTTTCTAGATTGCTCATTTTACAGTGTAACAACTATTCGAAAACTTTTTTGACGGTTTGCTTTAAATTTTTAATGAGATAATTCTTCTCTGTGCATCACTCCAGATCAAACTTTCCACTCTGAATGTGAAATATCTCAGCTTCTACTGGATACATAGCCATAGAGTGTTTAAGGTCGACAGATATTCTCGTTACAGCAACAAAACATTTTAATGATTGAAATCCTCCTCACTTGTCCTCTTGCGCCACCATGAGGCCAAAATTCTAACTTTTAGCATAAAACATTCCCTTCAGCCTCAGCTGTTGCTGATTAGCTGTTTTGTGCTAATCAGCAAATGTTAGTATTATAGCATTGTAAACAATGATATCTTGTTATTACTGCAACTGAAAGCATGCTACCATGATGATGCTAGCCTTTAGCTTAAAGCGCTACCAGAGATGTTGTAAGAGACATTGCACACTTAAAGGGATAGTGACAGTAGTATAACTTCCTGGAGAGTAAAGTCACCAAATTAATGAGCTGTTTAGTTTTTATGTCCCAGAAACCACTAAAATTAAAGCTTGGAGCATTTCAACATGGCTGCCATGAAGCATTACCTGCTTCTTAAAGGACTTTACCATCAATGTATACCTCAGAAAGCTACTAGTATCACTGTAGCTTGTTGTTTCTCTGTTTCCTTTACTCCAAATGTCTAAATTGGTCATTAAAGATGTTAGCCATTTCTCCATCCACTTATATCTGTTTCCACCTCTGAGATCATTTCTGTTGTTGGTGCTGCAGGGTGTGATAGAATTAAATTTTTTGAAGATCCAAAGCTAGACTGAGGCCAAGATCATATTAGGGATTATCACAATGTATTTATTGTTTTAGGGCTTCCAACAAGCTGTTGCCAGCTGTTGTCACAGAGACAGTTTCTGTCTGCTTCCAGGTCTAAGCAGATTAGCTTCAATATTTTGTGGAAGGTGCTGCCAAGTTGGTTGACTTTTCACCCCAGGTGTGTGTGTGTGTGTGTGTGTGTGTGTGTGTGTGTGTGTGT